AAGTAATTACTTTTACGCGACAAAGCGCCCGTTACAAATCCATTTGTCCTTCCTGTCAAGCAGAGCAAGCGCTTGCATGGAGTACAGAATGGGGCATTTTGTCAGTTGGGCATTCGTCTGGTGTGTCAGTTGCTTAAAAGATTAAGAGGTTGCTAATAAAGGCATGTGAATATTTCATATTATGAAACTGTAATATAATTGACTCAATTCAATATAATTCAACAGGGTGCTGCAGTGATGACCTGTCGTAATAATCAATATATCGACTTATCGCGCAATATATAGGCCTATACATGACCTCAATAATTTTTGGTGACGCAATATATCGCCCATTATATTCTACTTAAAAATTAATGTTACAATGTTTTGTACATTCCGCTTGTGCCTGTGTCTTTTGCAGCTTCTCGTAGGCTACATAACGTGGTGCAGTCATGAGGTGCTAGTTCACATTTAACAAATGCGTCTACTAACAAAACGTTTCATCTGCAGATATGGTCTTGTTTAGGGATCTGTGCATTTGCGCATACGGACATCTAACTGCTAAGTAGTGATTGTGTTTTTCAGCAATAGTGTGTACCCTTCATTTACAGAGAAAAGAAGGTCAGGGAAAAATCTGTAGATGGAAAAATCTCCATATAAGTTCTTTGTGCATTTTTATAGTTTTTTTCTACTTTTTTGTTAGAAAATGTTTATTCAGGTTTTTTAAGGTATCTAATATATTGATACTTAATTTCCATGATCTAAATATTCTTAAAAATTAAAAGTTTGTTGTCATTTGGAAGTGTGTAGGCCTTCTTGCATTATTATGCTGTTACATTATGATTACATATTCAGTGCCTTAAAATGGTCTTTAAAATGACAATAATATCGCTTATCACAATTATTTCTGGGGCAATATATCGCACAACAAAAAGTTGTTATCGTGACAGGCCTAAAGCCAACCCCTGGTTCCTTCGACAAAAACCAAGAGGATTGTTTATTTGGCTTTTGGATTATTGCAGAAAAAAAGCTCTAGGCCATAAACCAACTACACTAATTTATTTAAAAAAACATTTTCACTTAAAGTTTGAGTTAGAAAATAGTTTGCATTAGCACATATACTGGTGTATTTTATGTTGTAGAATAAAAAAAATGAAAATATATTGAACTTGTGTTAACCACAGGTCTTATTTCAGGCATTTAATCAAAAACACTTTCAATAAACTTCAGGAAGATGGAACATTAATTATACATTAAATAATACAGTAAATTAAATCAACTATTTTATTCATATACAGTACACTCTAAAAAAAAATTGAGTTTGTCCCTATTTTACCCAGCACTGGGTTGTATTTAACCCAGCACTTTTTAGAGTGTAGGTTTATTTATCATGTATACATTCATTTAACATATTTTGTTGTTTGATTAACATTAATGACAGACAGGTATTTATATATATATATATACTATGACACATATCCAGTTTTTACCCACCTGTTTACGTCCACTTAAGCCATAACCGACTGTATTCACACGAGATACTCCACAATGGACATTTCGACATCTGTCTTTGCGTGTAGGCCTATTTCATTATTCAGGCGCAAGGAGAACTGATTGCCCTGTGTACAATGCTGCTTACATCTTTCCTGACATCCGTTTTTTCCATCATCCCTGCACCTTCATCTCAAATTATTGCTAAATTTGTTTAAAACAACTCCTGAAACACTTTTGAGCATTTTATTGTTCTATATCATAAAAAGGAAGCACATGCATCTTTAGAAGGTGGGTTTAAACCCAAACAGCAATTCAAAATGTCCACTAAATCAATCTCAACTCCAGTCTTAAACCGGGCTCACACTGCGATTTTTTTAAAGTCCTTTAGGATTGTACTTGTCAGACTGTACGAACATGATGATCATGTCACACTGTGGGATCTCAGTTTTCATTAATGTCAGACTGACAGTCAAGACGCGTTAAAAACGGGTGCGCGCAAGAAAACTCGTCCCGAGTTGCATTGCACGCGGGGCTGTAATGTTGGCTATCATTAAAAGTATATGAATGGAGGCAATACCAGCGTATTTACGCAGAATAGTGCAAGCAGCACTACACACCCACATGAAAACAGCAGCGCAACCGGTGTTTATCATAGCAACGGCAATGAATCAGATTAATTCCGTGAAAGGAGTACGAGAGCGGCGAAGTTTATGCGGTTAGAAGAAATCTCTAGCATTAATTCTGATCATGGCTTGTCTTGAAAAACGAAGACAGTTTGACGTTCGTCGTAGGAGATGTGACATTGCAGGACTGTGCGCCAAATCTTCTGACACTGCCAGAAGTTCGTCGGAGGTCAAATTTGATCGCAACGGTCATTAATCGGCTGTCGGTGAACATGTCAAAACAGCGATCAAAGACTACCGATTTTAGCCTAGGATTATAGGAATCTTTTAGGATTTTCAAAATTTGTCTCAGACGACCAAATCGTGGCCAAAATCGCAGTGTGAGCCGGGCGTTTGGGACCCACCTAACAGAATGTTTCACTAATGTGTCACTAATTAAAACACCTGATTCAACTCATCATCCTCTAGTGTGTTGAACAGTGAGACATCTAAAACATCCTGGGAGGTGATTCCTGAGGACTGGAGTTGAGAAGCACTGCACTAACCTAAAACTAAATATTCTAACAAATATAAGTAATAGTCGTCTATTCAAAGAAAAGGATTCCCACTTATTAAAAGTTCTGTTCACATTAAAAAACATAATCAAGAACAGTCCATGACTGATCAAAAGTATCCAGATAGAAATGTATTGCCTATTCTCAATGGGAAAGTGCCCAAGCAACATTGCCTGACAACATTGCTCAAAAAGTTGCCCCATGTAAACATTTACAATAACATATACTTACCTATACTAAAAAGCACACAAATTCAATTAATAGAACTGAATATTAATCAGGGCTTACAACATATGTTGATTAATAGAATCACATTATTCTGTGTTCTCAAATATAACACACTCTAAAAAATGCTGGGTTAAATATATAATAGCGCAGGCCTACAACAGTTCCTAATTTTGTAAAGGCTATATTTAAACAAACCAAAACGCAAAACACAACACAAATGTAATAATAAACGGGGAGAGTGCCGATGGTCTGTAATAAAGTGGCACTTTCTAAGCACTGCTTCGTGAAGCTTCAAGCTTCGAAACTACTATGAATCATTTGTTTTGAACCAATGATTCGGAGCGCGTGTCATGCTGCCAAAGTCACGTGCTTTCAGTAAACGAGGCTTCGTTACGTCACTAGTGTTTCGAAATTGCAATGGCTCGCCGCTGGAGGGCGATGTCTGTGAACCCATGCGAGTTTTAGAATTTTGTACACATTTTTAATATGACATTTATAATTAAAATGGTAGCAGTCCATAGTCTCTTATTGGCCTATTGAGCGGAGCCGTACAGAATAAACAAAACAAAGGCTATTATACAGGCACTTAATGAGTAATGGTAGAGCCTATTAGACGATTAGTTAATTGCATTGCATGCTTTCAGTAAAATATTTGCTATTGGTTTGGGAATGTAAATACTGCATGTTTAGCCTGAGTTTTTCTTGCATTTACACAGTTTTGACCAGCAGGCGTTACCAGCCTGAGGAGTTTCGTATTGGTTCAAATGATTCAAAGCTTCGAAAGGTCGTTTCTCCATCACTACATAGGGAATCAAGAACAAAACAAGAAAAACAAATTGGGGAATACAACAATTAAATAAATAAATAAATAAATAAACAAACATACATTTATTTAAGCATTAGCATATAATATGGGATGTTTTCAAAGCTTTTTATTTGAGGACAGATTTTGAAATTATGAGAATAGTCCAAGTGAATCAGAAGTGAAAATTTTACAATTAGGTTTAATGTGAGGTGTCTTGCATTGTGAATGTGGTACAAATAAAGCCCAGGACATACAAATAATACAAATTAAGTCCAAGACATTGTCAAGCTTCCTATTGTCAGAAACACCAGAATGAAAAAGAACATTAATTAAAAGAAATAAAAATAAATATTAAAAATAAGTATTACACAAGAAGCAGGATGCGGAAATATGAAGCCAGAAGTGTTTAGTGTAAGAACAGAAAAATAATAAATCTGAGAGAGATTCTTACTTTTTGGCAAAAAGAGCAGAGTGGAGAAACATTTTTTTTTTTATTTAAATTGATTAATTACATAATATATTAATTTAAATGTATACATGTATTAACTATTAAATGTATTAATTTACTTAATTTATTATTGTTCAGCAATCGTGCAACGTTGCAACATTAATAGTTAAATGATTAGCTAAGAGTTGATGTCAATTAATTTTAATATATTAATAGATATAAATGTCTATAGTCGTATTAAAGTCTAAAAATGTCTATAAATGTACTTATTGACAGGTAGATGCAGATTACAAGTTACCCTACTTAAAATGTAATAAGTAGTGTAACTTTTCAATTACTTTATAAAAGTAATGTAACTGATTACATTTGATTACTTTTTGATTACTTTTCTAAATTTCTAATGTTTTCAACTGTTAATCATTTTCAAACATGTAAACCAGGCAGGGTTAAACTTACAATATGTGCTTAACACTGATAACTATCAGACTTTCGAAATCCTTCATCACTTGAATTAAGATTATAATATTTTAATTTTAAAGGAGACATTGGATGCAAAATATCTTCATTTGCATATAAATGTGTCTTAGCAGTGTGTGGACACAACCACCCTACAATTATAAAAATTCACTAATTTTTTTAATCCCCCAAAAACCTAAACAGTCTCAATTATCAAGCCATTTTGATTTTGGACTGAATACCAGCGCTCTCTTCCACCTTCAATACCACGACTGAGGTGAGACCCTTGAGCAAGGCACCAAACCCCCAACTTTGTTGGTGTGTGTGTTCACTGCTGTGTGTGCGCACACTTGGATGGGTTAAATGCAGAGCATGCACAAATTCCGAGTATGGGTCACCATACTTAGCCACATGTCACTTCACTTCACTTTAACTAAATTCGTTTATGTCTGGCTGCGCAAAACATTTTACTCCAGACTGCTTTCTGAATGAGGGACAATTCAAGGTTTAATAGTTTTTAATAGTTTAATAGCTATGATACTGTTTTTGAAATCAAATCTTTGCATATAGCTAGACCGGAAACACTGGAATCTAACAATGCCTTATACAGCATTAGCATATACATAAACCCTATCGGATAAGCATGTTATAAACTTCTAAAACATTGGTGTTTCATATTTTAGAGCAGTCACTGCAGTTTATGAAAGAACTCAATTATATCTGTATGTGGGAGTGTGTGTGAAAAAATCAGATGTAACCCCCTTTGTAATCCTTAACATTTTCATAAGTAACTGTAATTTAATTACACATTTTTTCTTAGCAACTGTAACTGATTACAATTACTTTTATTTTGTAATTAAATTACGTAATTCCGTTACATGTAACTAGTTACTCCCCAACACTGGGTAGATGTAAGTAGTAACATTTGCACGTAATGTTATGCTATTTGTTTTCTTTACATTTACATTTAGTCATTTTGCAGATGCTTTTATCCAAAGCGACTTACAATTGGGGGATACATAAAGCGATTTTTCTTAAAGAGGCAAACAGATACAGGTAGTGCTTGTAATACCAAGTTTCTAGACATTGTTCAAATAAGTACAAGCTAGAAAGAGAAGGAATAAATAAAGAGAGATACTTGCTTTTTTGTTTGTTTGTTTGTTTTATGATGATGAAGTCAAGTAGCTTTGAAAGAGATGAGTTTTCAGCTGTCGCTTGAAAATTGTCAGGGATTCAGCATTCCAGATAGGAATCCGGAATCTTTGTATAAAGAGCTTAGACTTTTGTGTGTGTGCTAGCTATTTTGATTGTTTCTCTTGCAGATGGGAAATGCCTGCATGAAACGTCTATGAAGAGATTTGAGCACATATATAAAAAAATTTCACATTATTTTATATCAGCTGTAATTTATTTGAGACTTTTTAGAGAGTTTCGTCATTTCATATTTGAATGGCAGGTGGTAGTCTGCTTAAGTTTTCCTTTTACTCTCACAGGGCAAAGACATGTACACTGCCAACATGCATGCTATTGCCACAATCCTCTAGCCTACTCTCCAGTGAGTATCGAATGCATAAATCATACTATTTGACATCTACCATAAGTCAGAAGTAAAATAATAGGTATTCTTTACTGGTGTTATTTGTTTTTAGGATAATGCTTTCATGAAGGATGCCCTTGTGTTCCCTGCATGAACACAAGCCACCGGCCCAGATCATTATCTGTTATGTGTAAGATTTACATGGTGTAGCTCATAAGAATATAGTAATTATTAAACTTTGTGATTTGGAGGGATTGTGATAATGCAAATGTGAAATGGATTGTCATAACACTTTTTTATACTCCCTGGCCATAACCGATGCATAGGTACTGAAGCCACTCTGAAGAGAGATCCTCCTTCTAGTCTCCCTGTATAGTATCAAAGCCTGGTTTTGGAGATGACCAGCACAGAGACATCTTTAGGTCCACAGCTAAGAAACGATTGCCATGTTCCTATGGCATATAACGTCGAGAGTATGCCCTCTACACCGTGCTGAACACTCCATTTAATTTCCCTCAGATGAGCTTTTCTATTTTCTTCATTAAAAGGTTGCTATAAAGTTGTTGTACTTGATTGCTGGTCATTGAGTTCTACCAATAAGATCTGAATACTAATCCTTGAACATTTCTGTTAGCTTGACATTCCTGCGATCAGATTGGTGAGCAGTTTGAGACAGAGAGGTATGTGTACTAATTTCTGAACATCTTAGTTTGTTTCATTCTTGAAGTCCCTTCCTTGTCAGTGGAAATAACTGACCAAACTGAGGCAACACAGCACAGATGAAAAATGCAATAAATCATCAGCATAGTCATAAGGCATCAATCAATCATGCCTTGTCATTGTTTTCATAATCACCTCAGTAAAATTCCCATATGGCAATATTCACATGTCTATTCTTGATAAGCTACATTTAAACAATTTAAATGAAATAAAAAAATTTTTAATTATGAATCTGCCTGTTTATTGTCACTAACTAGAGTTGTCGTATTGGGGGGTCAGCAAATTAAAATGTTTTCTTTCTTTTGAAAGACAAGGCAGTGGTCAAAAGAATTCAAAGTGGCTTTACGCTTTTTCCCAAGCATTCTGCTAAGTCAGCACCTGTGCCAGTGTACACTGAAGATCAGGAGCAGATTGATGCAATCCACTCTCACCTGACTTCAATTCTGGACAGCACACCCACAGTGACCAGATCAAATTCATCATGGATGTACTTTTTACAGAGGTAGGTCTCATGTGATAGCTGTGCTCTGCATGATGTCAGATTCACATTGTTTTAAATGTCAAATAGTTTATCCATAATGTGAGACCATTGCTCTAAAAATAATTGTTCTCTTTCATGGGAACTTCGAACTGTGTCCTCTAAGGGTCACTATGGGTAACGCCTCGTCATGACCCATGTCTGAAGCATACATTGAAAAAACACCAACAACACGTTGGCCGGCGACAGCCATGACGTCACTACCGGTGCGACTATAGTAAATAGGCACCGGGAGAACACATCATCCTCTTCTTCATCTTCATTGACTGTTTTGTTTGAAGCGTGCATTTCTGTGGTAAGAGCGATCTCTATCCAAATCATTATGGCGAGCACTAGCAGAGCGTTTAGAGGATGTGTGCATCCGTGTTGTCGTTGATTAACATCTGATGACACACACAATCTATGCGTTATTTGTTTGGGCGAAGAGCACGCATGCGATGTCTCCGAGGGGGCAATCAGCGTGCACTGCGAGCGTTTTTCCAATGAAAAAGCTCTGCTCTCGTTTGTCTCTCTTTTCGAGGAAAGAGGGGCAGCCATCTGCTTCCCGCGATTCGGAGGAGAATGAGCTCGTGGGGATCGCAGGTGGATCTGGCCGATGAGTTTGAAGAGGGATTTTCCCTCTTGCGATTCTTTATAAAAGTTAAGTCAACCACGCCTACCTAAACCGTCTCGTTCCAACACGCCCCCACATGTCTACGTCACGATGTGGAAAGATTTGCTTAAGGCCCCAAATTTTCATGCAAAGAAAGAAGGCGTAACTTTTATTCTCGCTGTAGTATTGTTGCCACCACCGCCATGTCGTGGAGATGCTGTGTTTCGTTGTGAAAGCGAACTACTTTGTTTTGCCTTCCAAAAGAGGACGATATCCGCTTCCTCATGCCTAGAGCTGATCCGTGCTGGTCGCTGAGGAAATACATCAACTTTGTGCTGTAGATCGCCGGATCGGCTTTCACCGAGGACGAAAGCCCGGGGTCGTCACATGTGGTTGCCGCAAGCCCGCCTGCAGCTTCTTCGTCAAATCCGCCGGCCGCGCCGTTCTCAAGCCCACCAGCCGTCGCTCACTCAGCACGCCGGCCTCTGCTCAATCATCCCGCCAGCCGTTCCTCACTCTAGACCGCAGGCCTCTACTCATTCTAGGCTGCCGCCGCTCACTCTAGCCCGCCGTGTGTGACACTGTGTTTCGTTGTGAAAGCGAAACTACTTTGGCCTTCCAAAAGAGGACACGACTAGAAATCAGTGGTTAAGTTGTATTTACACTGTTCCAGAACACTTCAACCCAAATATTTAGATGTTTGCAGCACATTTTATGGAGGATTGTTTCCTGGGAGATTAGACTACAGGCACTAGTCAGGCTGTTCTGACTTACAGACTGTAAGTAAGTTTTTTTATATTTAAAGAATTTGCCTCTGATGATTCAAATGTGAGTTTTGGGCAGTGTAGAGAAGCCCTTGTTGTTTGTAATTTCTCCGATCACAACTGCAGACATGGTTTTATGTTTACACGGCGCGATGCAACGCAAAGCATAAAAAGACAGTATAAGTCATTATAATCAGTAATTATGTCCTCACTGGATGCAACAAATGCCTCATTTATAATGGGTTTTAATGTTTTTGTCTCGTCGCTCCGGCCTGACAGGGCATCACAGTATGGTAGCTGCGTAACATTCCAGAATAAATTGAACATACAAGAGCTTTAACATTAACCCCCCAAACATAATAAGAGGTATTAACTTGCCCGAAGAAGAACCCCCCAAAACCATCCTTCTTCCATTCCTGCAAAAGAGAAAAGACAATGTTATGAGATATCCTTGATGTAGCTTACTGGCTAGCGGAGGGGTATTCTCCCCTCTAAAAAGGGAGAGAATAGCAGGCCCCTCTTTAATTTTAAGTAGCAAGGGGTGTTCGTCCCTCGCTGAGGGATAGAACAGCAGGCCCCTGCAATTATAGCAGCAAAGGGTGTTCTCTCCAGCAGGAGAAAACAGCAGTCACCCTTTTATTTATTTTTTTGCAAAGCTTTGTGAGGGACTGCGGCTGGCCCCGAATAAGCAGCAGTGGTGTTCTCTCCAGCGGGAGAACCACAAGAACAAAGCAGCCTGTCCCTGAGATTGGCATGAGGGGTAAGAGAGCAGCGTGCCCCTTATGGTATCGTGATACTACGAGATGCAGAGGATTTTTTTTAATTAATTTTTTTATTTGGAAGAGCTGCTCAAGGCTTTTTGTGCTAGGATTTATTTATTTATTTATTTATTAATTTTTATTATTATATGGAAGAGCTGCTCAAGGCTTTTTGCGCTAGTATTACGTCCTGAGTTGAAGGCCTAATGTATCGTTGGTACGCTGATGATGACCACCGACCCATTGCTTTGAGCATGGGTATGGAGACTGTTGCAGCTGCGGTGGTTGCGCCTATGCGGAATGAATGGCTGGTATAAAGCGCGGGGTCCATGCCGCAATGGAGGCATGCGGTTCGGAGATGTGAGACGAACCAATGCTTGGACATAGCTTCTCCTTTCTCTGTGATGAAAAGTGGATCTGTAGGATTGGATTTACTGTGTGAGCTTACCAGCCGGTTCATGGCTGTGAGGGGACAGTATCCGTTGTTGGTTCTAGAAATGTTGATAGTACTTCTGTTATTATCTCTGTCTGTTTTGGAATGTTTCAGATAGATGGAAAAGTAATCTATGTGAAATGATATGTCTTTGATTGTGAGGTCGTGTGAAGGGTTGAATATTTTGGTGTTAATTGTGAATACTCCTCCTCTGAGGAATCCATAATAGGCGGTGAGGAACGCTACTTCTAGAAGCAAGTTTGTGTGCGGAGTGAAAAGACCTGATCTTAATTTATCCACCATCGTGTGCACCTGTGAGAGAGACAGCAGTAGTCGTTTATCTGGAAATGCTGGGCTTTACTTTTTTAACCTGTTAAGGAGAAGGCATATGGAGGGATTTTGTAACAGGCTTTGAGAGGAAGGATCTAAACATCTAATGTGGAATTGAATGCCTGAGATCATAATCTTGATGGTGGAAGGCTTAAGCTTTCTGGATTCGAAGCTGTGCGTAATGAAAGCACATATAATAGGTATGTTAGCTGGGAGTTTAGGCACTGAGAAAGCGTTGCAGAAATCTGAAAAAGACTACCACGCCGAGTCGTAAGTTTTAAGTGTCGTTTTAGCTAGCCCTGATCTCATGTAGTGTGCGGCTGATTTAAGGTATTTTTGCAATGTTATGTTCAGTCTAGGACCGTTTGACTGAAGTCCGGGCAGCCCAGTCGTGATGCAGCAGCTCCCGGACACAGGCGTCTGAATTCCTGGAAATTAAACCGAGACAGAGAGTCGGCTATTTTATTATCCAGCCCAGGTATGTGAGCAGCTTTAATTGTAAAATTGTTCATAACTGAGATCCAGGTTAGACGCCTGATAAGATGGTTAATGAAATGCACGGAGGTGCGACCCTTGTTAATAATGTTCACTGTGGCTTCGTTATCACAGAAAACGAAGATGTTTTTCCTAGTCCATTGGTGTGCCCATAATAAGCAAGCAATCACTATAGGATATAGTTCCATAAGTGCTGTCGATTGGATAGAGGGACCCAGTTCCTTAAGTTCTTTTGGCCATCTTTCTGCAAACCATTGTTTGTTAAAAATCCCCCCGAACCCGACGGAAGGAGCTGCATCTGTGAAAAATTGTAGTTTGACTGAGGTTTCGATGTCTTCTTCGTAGAAGAAGGAAATGCCGTTCCAGTTGTCTCATAATTTAGACCAGAATATTAAATCGGACCTGCAGCCTTCATCTAACCTGACCGTGTCATGCATTTTCTCGACCGTTTTAGACCGATCTAAAAGTCTGGAAATGAAGGAACAACCTTGGGGAATGATCCTCATGACAAAATTGAGATGGCCCAGCAGAGAAAGAAGATCCCTTTTTGTTAAGGTAGATAATTGGGAATAAGTTCTAATGAAACCTCTAATCCTTTCTAATTTGTCTAGCAGAAGAGATGCTTGCATTTTCACTGAATATAGCGTAATCCCCAGAAAATCGAGGACACAAGATGGGCCTTTTGTTTTTTCTTTTGCAAGAGGAATGTCGAATTTATTGAATGCTTTAACCAGGGAATTAATGCTGCGCGATGGGTTGGCATCTGGAAAGTCGATGAGCAGAAAGTCATCCAACAGGTGAAGAACGAATGGTAGTTTGAAGTTATTTAGTAAGACCCAGCAGAGTGCTTCAGACAGTGTCTCGAATATATTTGGGCTGCTTTTACACCCGAAGGTGAGTCTAACTGAAAAATAAAATTTTCCTCGCCAACTGACCCCGAAAAGATGCCACTGAGAGGGGTGTAAGGGCATGATTTTGAAGGTGTCAGTAATGTCTGCTTTACTGAGCCACGCTCCTCTGCCGGCTAATTTAATGAGTTTGATTGCGTTGTCCACTGTGGAATAAGCCAGGGAAAAAGGTTCTGAGGGAATTAAACTGTTAATGCTTGGAACCCCTAGGGTGGAGTGGGGAGCGGATAAATCAATAATTAGATGATTTTTCCCTGAGTATTTCCTAACTGCAACTCCTAAAGGGTTAATGCGGAAAAGTTTGAAGGGAGGTTGATCGAAAGGTCCGATCATGTACCCCTTCTCTATTTCTTTCCCAATCAGATCATCTGCGGCCTGTGGAACTTTGATAGCCGACTGAAGGTTTTGACAGGTGAAAGAGAAAGTTGGCAGATAGGAACGACCAGCTAGAAACCCATGCGTGAGCCCTAGAATGAGGTAAGACACGAAATAGCTCCTTGGTGTTCACCGGAGTGTTTATTTCTTTTTTAGAAATTTTGTGCGGCGTGGACAAGAAAACTTCGGGTGACTGTTCCCGCAATAGCTGCAAGCATGAAAAAATTTACAATTATTACGAGTACAAACATTCTCGTTGAAATTGTAGCAAAGAGGGGTTTGTCTTTCAGGCTTCACCTGTTCTGGCGCTGAAGCGCTAGTGTCGTGAGTTGGAGCGGTCTTAGGGCAGAGAGATGCGGTGTGGGAAAATGAACCGCAGAGTGAGCATGACAGTGCTCGGTGGCCCGTAAAGTGTCTGCTGATTAATGCAAGATCGACCACGGACCAGTCCAGTCGCTGATTAAAGTGTTGTATGTACATTGCTGCTTTAGATGAAAATGATTTGTGGTATTCGTAGAATAGTGTGCCTCCGTAAGACATGGCGAGATCTGAAATGATAGCTAGGTAGGTATCTAATTATTTTCTCCTGTCTGGATACACTTCGCAGATAATGTCTCTGAACACGCCGAAAGCAACATTAAATTCTGCCATAGTTAGACTTTTGGTGAGTCTTGGATCGCTGTCTTTAAGAATGACGCTTGATCGGTGGAGATATTTTTTCTTTTCTCCGAGGCTTTACGGCCGGTATATCGGAGAAGAGTAGAATCTGCGGTGGTAGTTTTTCTTTTCTCCGAGGCTTTACGGCCGGTAGATCGGGGAAGAGAAGATACTGCGTTGGTAGATGGGGGCTGCGGGTCTTGATTGACTTCTTGTAAAAGAGTCAAGAGCTGATCATGATTCAGATCCATAGGCACTTGTACATTGAGAGAGTACAAGGTGGACAAGATCCTTTCTTTGGGCCATTCATTGATGGAGAAAGGATTCCTTGCTGCTATCCTAGAGCTGCATCTCACTAGCTGGGTTGGATCGACGTCTTCGGTGTAATGATCCAGGATCTCATCCGGAGACTCTTCGGATACGATTTGTCCAAGGATGTCCGAAGTATCCATGACCAGGAAGCAGCAGGTAAGATGTGAAAGAAATAATGTAAACGTAATTTTCATGCTGTTAATAGCTGTATCGCCAAGCTTGCGAGCAGTTTGAGCATACTTAACAAGCAGTAATGCCACGTATATATGTCCCGTGTCTAATAGGAGAATGGTAGTGATTGGAGCGATTTGACAGCTGACCTACGTGGCCTGACTGAACTAATGCTGCACTCAATTTCGGTAACTGTAGTGGGTTTCTGAGCCATAACTTTGTTGCCAAAGATTTTAATTAAGATTTTCAGTTGGGTTTAGATCTCTGGGCCAACCATTTCATTATTTGATTTCAATGTTGTAGCTTTAAAGTTTAACTACTTTACCTGTTTTTCAGTGTGATGGGGGCATTGTCTTGAATGAAAATTGCAGGCTGATAGGGAGATCCTTGCAAGGAAGGTATCGCATGTTGAAGAAGGTTGTGATAAACATTTGCATGTATCTGTATAAGAGGTCCAACTCCTGCTGCAGAAAACATCCCCCAACACTTCCTCCTCCACGTTTCACTGACTTCTTTACACACTTGGGTTTCAGTCTTTCCCCAGTTTAATGCTGAACATAATGTTTCCCATCTGACCCAAATAAATGAAACTTGCTTTCATCACTAAAGACACTTTGGACCAGTTCACCTCTCTCCACACACCATACTCCTCAGCAAAGCTGAGTCTAGCCTTTTGATTCTTTCTGCTGATGGGAGGCTTGATCACTGCAGAGTGCGCTTTCAGTCCAACTTCTCTTAAACATGCCGAGACAGATCCTTACCCTGTTCAGCGTTTAACTGAGGGGACTTGAATGAATTAGTGTCATTGTAAACCTGCAATAATCAAGAAATCACAGATATGGAACAACCAACTTCGTTTGACATGGCTGAAAGGGTCATCCCTTAGGCCTTCATCTGGACAAGTGTTTCAGTCACATTAGAGCAGCCCACAATCTTGCAATCTCAGTGAAAATTAGAGGAATGCTTCCAGTTAAATATGGTTTGTCATATAATTAAGGAAATTAGCACCAGGTGCCAGATTAACACCAATAACTTGGAGGTATTTGTAAGTGTTCTCTAATTTTGATCGGAGTTCTTTTTCAAATGTTAGGATAACTTAAAATAAATTGAAATTTAAGAGATTGTAGGTTCTCTAATTTTGATGTCCATTGTATGTTCATGGTAGCCTCATCAACTTGCATCTATTATAAAATTAAGACTATCAAGTGACACAGTGGCAGCCAGATTGTCCCGCATGTGTTCTCCCACTCTTGCCTCAAGGTTGTGTGGTTCAAGGGGGCGTCATCATGGTCTTCTTCATCTTCTGGCTCAATGATGTCCCCATTGAAAAGAGCGAGATTGTTTCATCTGTTGTTTACTTGTATGTATTTATTGTGATGGTTACTTTTATTCATTCTTTTACTCATTATTCATGTCTCCTATTGTTGTCAGTGAATGAAATGGAATTATTTAATTAATTTATGCAATAATTATTTATGCGTTTGTAACCCCTCTCTCCCGGGTCCCCACCGCAACACGAGTGGGTCTCTGGCATGGGAGGCAGACGCACTAACAAGGAGGCTAAAGACTACAGCCCCTAACGTCAGTCGCTAGTGTGTCTCTTGAGATCAGGGGAGTGAGGTTTACCTGCACAGCACCTACTTGCAGGCCTCCGTTACACTCACCCCCGTTACACTTACTCCCATCCGGGTCACACCACCAATGTAACCCCTCTCTTCCGAGTCCTCACTGCCACACCTCGTTCTCGTTCCGAGTGGGTCTCGAACCCAGGTCTCCGGCAAGGAGGCTAAAGGTGAGGTTTACCTGCACAGCACCTACTTGCTGTTGTTTGTAAGCCTGAGGGATGAAACAAGAGTTAAATTAAACAAGAAACAGAAGAAAACATAAAGGAGATTTAAGCCACTTTTGCTTGTGGATGTCAAATTTTGCACACATAAAATAAAGAAATTAACAACATATTCAAGAAATAGCAATTTTGGGTTTTCGTAATAAAAAAATAATAACATGAGGATAAAATTGTGGTCAACAAGACCACAAAATGAGCAAGTTTCATCATTATCAAGATATTTACAGATGATGTAAACCTGTCGCTCATATCTTTTAAGTTGTTGAGCTTGTTATAACATCATAAGTCACATGGTAACGTCAACATGTCAGAACACATTCAGACTGTAGAGTACATACTCTTTTAGCGTTCGTTAAGTAAGTACTTATTGAAATGAATTACCTTCTCAATGAGTATTCGGTTTCAAACGCAGCCTGTGTCTAATAAAAAGCAAAGGGGAACGTTATGGAACACACCCAAAGTGGATTTTCTGTGTAGGGCAGTCATTTGATTTGCTACGCCAGAACTACAAAATTAAAGTCAACATATCTAAAGCCTAACAGCGGTGTCCAATCCTGCCCCTGGAGGGCCACTGTCCTGCAGAGTTTAGCTCCAACCCCAGTTAAACACACCTGAAGCAGTTAATCAATGTCTTAGGTATTTTAGAAAGATCCAGGCAGGTGTGTTGAGGCAAGTTGGAGCTAAGGACAGTGGTCCTCCAGGACCGAGTTTGGATACCCCTGGCCTAACACATAAAAAATACGGTGGGTGCATGACGTTATCTTAATTATTAGCATTAATGGTATGAATGTATTCAGTGTTGGGAAGGTTACTTTGGAAATGTAATAGGTTACAGATTACAAGTTAAGGCCTTTCCACACTGAGCGTGATGCGAAAAAGTGAGGCGAATCACCGACGAACGATGCTTTCACACCAAACGCAAAGGATTGTTCGTTTGATTGATCTAATTCACGCCTGCACGCTAGGTGGTGCCGACCAACAATGCATTTTTCCTCAGATATGTATCGTAAATAGATTTAACATCGCCCGCTGCTCAATATACAGGATTAAATTAAGATAAACAAGGTTCTACACCAGAAACAAACTATCTATAATGCTTACAAGAATAGGCTACATCCTAAAATATAATTAGAAGGACAATTAGCATCAAGCTGCACTTGAAAATGTATGTAATTAATAATGTATTTGCTTACCCACTTTAAAGGGTCCTATTATGCTCTTTTACAAAGTCTTGATTTTGTTTTGGGGGTGTACTAGAACAGGCTCTCATACTAGGTTGTTCGAAAAACACATTATTTTTCACATATTTTACATTATTACAACACCTCTCTCCCCAGTCTGGCATGAACGGCTCGAATATTTCCTGTATCAAATGAAGGCCCGCCTTCTGAAATACGAAATATGCTGTGATTGGTTAGCTGGGCCAGTGTGTGTTGTGATTGGCAGCACTCGGCGCCTGGTCGGGAAATGTCACACCCCTTACCATAGCCCCCTGCGAGCTTCAGTGTAAATATTGCGTCAAAATCAAATCAATTTGAGCGCGATTTAAACCCTGATGATTGTAACCACTCTAAAGTTTGTCTGCCTTGGGGAAACTAGCGCGTCTCCGACATAGTGATAACACTCGCTGCCTTCTCTAGTGAAGCTCGACCAGGTCTCGCCCCATTCGTCGGTATTTGTGATATCACAAATCCCGGAAAATATGCGTTGTCGTCCAAACGAGTCGTTCGTTGTAGTTTTTGAAAAGTGATTTCTGTTAAATAAAATAGCTCCTTTTGAAGTGGACTTTTAGCTTTGTAACTTTGCAGATATTTTTTATGCTCAAACAGCAACATTACAGACTAACTAAAGTAGGACCCCTTTAACATTTATTTCAATAAAACTATTTTTAGTTATTGCAGTATTTAAGTTATACAGCAAACGTATATAAAATCCAACAAATGGAGGCAGATAAAAGTGCAACCTGGTGGAAAGAAAGAAATAAAATAATTTGTAATAACATGTATGCCTGTATGACCGTATATGTATATATTTCCTATTGCTGAGAACAGTGTTTTCAGAAATAATTTTAGTTGGATATACTGATTTGTAGATTTTGTATGTCCCTTTGTTATTTTATTTATTTATTTTAGTTATGACGGCCAATTCTGACTGTGAACAGAACAAGTGTGACAAAAAATTTTTTTTAATTGTGACATGAATTTTACTTCAGCAGCTCATAAGCAATAATGAATAAATCCAAAATAAATAGAGGGAAAGTGTCAGGGTCCTGCCCTGACATTCATGTCTGTTTTGTCTTTGTTTAACATTTCCTTGTTTGTCTTGTGTCTGAGCACATGGCTTTGTCTTTGTTTATGTTGCCCATGCCCTCCTCTCGTCCTGCCCCCTTGTTTCCCTCTACCACGCCCCCTTGTTTAGTCCTAGTCTAGTCCTCATTAACTTGATTGTGTCCACCTGTTCCTCATGTGTTCTGCTCCTTTATAGTGTGCCTCTTCCCTCATGTGTCTGCTGGTGCAACACACAAGAGACAGTAAAACATATTTTATTAGATTGTAAAAGGTATGAAGAAGAAAGAAGGGAGTTAGAAACCCAAGTTGGAAAACAAAACGTGACAGTGGGAAATCTGCTAGGAAAAACAATGTCTAGGAAAATACATATTCTCCTAATTAATTATTTGAAAAATACTGGGATAAGTGAAAGAATTTGATGGAGATGTATGGGGGGAGAATGTATGTTTTTGTTTATTTTTATATATATATTAAAATTTTTTCCCCTCTCTCCTTGTCCTTTCTTTCAAAGTACTGCCCACACTCCAGTCCAGTAGGTGGCGGTAAATGCACCTTAAAGTTGGTTTGCCAACCGCCAATCAAATTTAAAGAAGAAGAAGAAGAATGTCTTTGCTGGTTCCTTGCATTAGTTCCTTGTGTGATGAGATTTCTTTGTCAGTCTACTAGTCGTATTAGTAGTGTTATTTTACACTCCTTGTCAGTCTAGCTTTGCATTTAGTTTTCTAGAGGTTTATTAGGTTTTCTTTGCTTTTTTGTTATTTTGCTCTAGTCTAGTTCCTGTCTTTATTTTTGTTAAAGTTGTTTTTCTTGTTTGGTTTCTTTCCTTATTTTAATCTCGTCTGTTTTTATTCCAGTTATCTATTCCTAGATTTTGCCTTATGGTTCATTCTTTTGTTTATTTGCTCTCTGCAGTTTGAGTCTGTTTTTCTGTGTTCTTTTCTTTCTAGTCATAGTGTGTAGTCAGAGTTTTATCTTGCTGATTGTTCTCTCTTGTGGTCGTGTGTGTGTGTGTTCCTGTTCTGTGTCCTGATTCCCCTGGCTGCTGTTCTCAAGACCTGGCTATCTGACTGGACTGATTTCACCACAGCTCAAAGTATCAAGCCCTGGTTTCTCAAGCTGCTGCCTGATCTCCAGTGTTCTCATTATCTGGGGCCGCTCTATCATCCTTGTTCTCCAGCCTAACTTTGTCCAGGTCTGACCTCAGCCATCCTCCTGTTCTCCTGCAGACTGCCCTTTCCTACTGTTTGGACTCTCACATCATCCCATTCGTTCCTTGTCTTGTCAATAAACCTCACTCCCTTGATCATTCTGCATCTGGGTCTCTCTCTAGTAAACTGCAGTGACAGACCGTGACAAAAAGAATAATAAAAATAAATAAACATAATACCATCTATAAGTGTTAATATTGGTGACTAAATAGTCACAAAGTTAAGCAGTCACAACCTGTGGAAAAGCACACGAAAAAAAAAATACATTCCCATATATATTTCCCCAGATATCTACAATAACATAACCCTTTAATGAAAACATGTAATTTAGAACAAAAGAGAACATTAGAACAAAAAATAACCAAGACCATTCTTTATGAATTTTTGAGCCCACCTCCAAAAGGAGGAAATCTGACTACCCAAAAAACCCCAATTGACACAAAACCATTTTTTTTTTCACGTCTGGAGGTAAGTGATCTATAAAAGGAGACCATACATTCTGAAACCTCTGTATATTACCCCTGAGTACAGCTGCCAGCCTCTCGTGGGGCAAAACCGAGCATTGCGTTAGCAGCGCAAAAGGTTGTGGGTTCAGTTCCTAGTGAACACACATACTGGTCAAAAATGTATAGCCTGAATGCACAGTCGCTTTGGATAAAAGCGTCTGCTAAATGCATACATTTAAATTATCTCTCTAAACCACTGTGTCACAGAGGGGGGAGTGTTTTTTATCCGCCTAATAAGGATGCATTTCTTTGCCACAAGTAGCAATTTATCTAACAATTTATAACCTTTTGCGTCAAGTGTTGGTGACATTGTCTGTCTTTTAGATGGGAGCCCCAAAAGAAAGAGACCAGAATCCGTTTTCAATTTTGTCTTAAGAATGGTACTAATTTCATAAGCAATGAAGTTCCAGAATGTCGATATGAACTTGCACCTCCACAAATAATGAAAGTATTCACTTCAATGTTAACAGATCTTACAATAATCCTTTTTTTAAATTTGAGTTCCTCCAGGAACCTCCGGAGCACTCTGAGGTCTCAGTATAGTGAAAGAGTGACTCCAGAACCTCAGAACTGGAAACAAAGTGTTTCAAGGATCCCATGAGTTCCTACACGAACTGCAAAGACTGTAATGGTTCCTCCAGGAACCCTACTATGAGAAAAAGAGCTTTGAGGCACTTAAAATACATTTTGAAGTTCCTAGATTACTCAAAAGGATATCTGAGGCACCTTTAGTTTTTACAGTGGCTTAAAATTTATGTTTTTTTCTTCTGATGTTAAACCTAAGCTATGTTGTAAATAGTTGTAAAAAGTACTTTCCGTAATGTATAGATCAATTTGTTTTAATGTGTAAAAAATGTATTTACAGGACAAAAAAAATAAACGTCTAGAACAATGTTTTGTGTAAAAATTATAAGCTGCATTAAAAAAATTAATTTAATTTAGTCTATGGTAACATTAAACTGTAAAATGACTGTAAAAACATGATTTACAGTTGAGATACAAGTTTTCACAAGAACAAAATAAATTATAAAATGATTAACCTCACATTTCAGCCCTTAAACATTTTTTTTATTTCAAGAAAAGGGATGAGTTTGAAGTATAAATTATTATATTAATTTAAAACTAGGTAATATGGGTGGATGTTCGTGTTGGTCTGAACAAAAACTGCAGACGGGCTGATTGAAGATGCAGATTGACTCTCTGCCAGTAGGAGGCGCTTTTGGAACGGCAAGCGGTTTCCCTGGTAAGCTCATAAATGCTACTTTATCAGGTGAAATGAAAATGCCATTTAAACTTTTCTGAAGACAGTCGGTTCCCTTCAGAGATACATTCATATAAAAACACCAGCGCCGCATTATTGCTTGAATTAGTAAGAATGAGAAAAGTGTTTAAAAATATAGCCTATATTTTTGAAGATGTACAAGGAATGATGAGTTACCAGCATAAGCCTATGTCCATCAATCGGACAGACGATTATTATTGTTACCTTTATTATTACCTATTTTACTTTCAGTTTTTATATTTCTGCAAACACCTTCACTTATTGCAAATTTTGTATTGTATTGTCTTGTCCAAATACTCAAAACACTTAGGCAACACTGTAAATGCTGACAGTCTTGTTTGTTTATTTATTTATTTATGCTGAGTTTGAAAAAGACAAAAAAGGAGGATTGGCTGGTCCACACAAACAGCAGATGGCGGTAATAAGCTATTGTGGTTTCCGCCATTAAACCACACCAAAAGAAGAAGAGTAGGAAGAAGAAGAAAACCGTTAGAGTCTCCGCCATTACAGCCTTCTGCGGTTCGGTAACTTACAGTCTTTCAGCTTCGAAAACGTAAACGTACTTCTCTTTGGTAGTATATAAATCATCGTTAAAATTAATTAGTCACAGTCGGTATAAAAACCTCTCTGTTTGTATTCAGAGGGTCTGTTAACAGTCATCGCTGTCGGTCGTGGGTGTGGTTCAGACACAAACGAGTATTAAACATTTCCACCCAAAGCGGATTTTGCTGGAACCTTCAACATGATGAAAAGCACCTTCAGAATCTGTCAGATTTTTCTACTAATGTGCGGTAAGTGCATGATTTCTGTGTTTTTTTCTTTTTTTTTCTTTTACACTTTCGGTTTCACTTTGAGTGTGGTGATCATTGGCTGATGTTCTTCCATTCCTAAACTTAATTACCTTATTAACAACGATCACATTCATCTAGATGAATTTGGACATGCCCTCCTCCACTAATTGTAATTACTTGTCTCCTTCAATTTTTCAAGACGCTTAGACGCATAACTTACTTGCTTACTGAAAGCGTAAACAGTGGTGTGTAAAAAACTAAACTAAAAAAAACCTAGAGGCAGTTTATGCATTCTGAATATGTATTCTGAAGCTAAACTTGTTTAGATAAAGATGAGATATTAGACTCGTTTGCTAAAGGTTCCCCCAGGCAGGATGGGAAATAAACACAGACCACTAGGCCAGTGCTTCTCAGGCTGTCTTGGGGATTTTTATAAAAAATCTGAATGATTAGTAATTGTCTCTAATTGACCTGTTTAGCTAAGCCCACAAAACACTTCTTATTTAGTGGTACAGTATTGCATGATTTGTAGATTGTATTTAATAGTTTACACTTTGCATAATTGTTTGCAATTAGTTTTTAAAAGGTAACATTACATTCTCTACGCCGCTTACATTTCTTTTCAGGAGTACTTGTGAATAGGAACACCTAAAATAGGAACACCTTTTGATGAATGACAGAAATTAACCTTCCTATTATAAGGCGATATTTGACTCCTTAAAAGTTAAAAAAAATAAAAAACCTTTGTAATGCCTCTAACTTTATTAAATGTACACCATCTTTTGTGCCAAAAAAATTTAGATTGATAAACTTATCAAAAATTTTAATTAAACAATAAATTCAATTAAAATAATAAGATACAATCAGGAAGAATAAGTTAACCTACTAGTTAAATGAAATCAGCATCAACAATTCATCTTTGCATGGCACAGATGTGGCATTACAGACTTTTTGACAAGACTCAGAGGTGGCATTAATGCATTTCATAATAACAATGTTATGAAATTGATGTTTTAAATATTAAGTTTTGAATATAGAAATATTAAACCATTTAAATGACTCAATTTATACTTTAAAGTCTTTGTCACTGAATCATTCATTCAGTCGATTCGTTCAAATGGCTGATTCATTTAGGAACGAAGCAAGTGACTCTTTATGAATGAGTCATTGAATCATTGACTCACTAGATTTGTTCGAAAACGCAGATTCATTCATAAACAAAACAGCGCACAGTGGCTCAGCTGTGACTTTGGAACTATTTTCATTGACAAAATAGAGCACGATCAGACAACAGTGTTCCTAAAATGTAAGTCACTTAAAATTAACCTATGTATAAAATCAAAAATGTATAAAAATGTTGTATAAATTAAATTTCACATTTGCAAACTCCCTTTATAATCATTAAAATTCTGTCACTCGTCTTAGGGCTGATTCATTTAGGAACGAAGCAAGTGACTCCCTTTATGACTCGCTAGATTTGTTCAAAAACACAGATTCATTCATAAACGAAACCGCTCTGTGTTTGCTTGGAGATGCGCAGCGGCTCAGCTGTAATTGGTTTGGAATTATTTTAGTTGAGGAAATAAAGCACAATCAGACAACAGTGTTCCTAAAATGTAAGTCACTTAAAATTAACCTATGTATAAAATCAAAAATGTATAAAAATGTTGTATAAATTAAATTTCACATTTGCAAACTCCCTTTATAATCATTAAAATTCTGTCACTCGTCTTAGTTCATCGCGATCTCACAAACTTCCGTTTTGATTAATGAAGCTCTCTACACTGCACTCTGAATCTATTATTTACATCGTCTCTACACTTTGTTATAATGAATGACAAAAACTGCAATCTGCTTTCACGATCTGTGCTGTGAGGAGCAGCACGCACACCGATAGAGAAGCATTTCCATTGGCTGCAGTCTGCAGGTATTATGGCCAATCACAAAAGACGGCATTGCGCAGCGAACCATAGACCCAAATATCCTGCTACGTTTTTAGTAAATTATCACGCTAGTCTTATGTGTAGAATTGGGATTGCTTTCGTAGTCTTTTGAATGGATAAAATATAGAAATCACTTTAATTTCCAAATAAACCTAACCAAATGAAACGCCATCCCCCCTCGAAATACACTCCTCAGACTCCGTCCCCCCACCCCCCATTTCCAGCCCTGTTTATAATGCACTTATAATTTACATTTAAAGTGTTTATTACAAATGAATGAATAAATGCTAATGTAAATGAACTAAATTTTCTTTCCTGGTTAGCAATAATTGGTATAACAAGTGTCGGTTGTTGGTTAAAGAAAAATAACTGAAATGAACATCCCTAATGTAGAGAACTTACACAGTTATAACATCATATCTGAAATATAAGAGAGGTATAAAATAATGAATTACCACCAGGGTTTTTCCTAGGTCAAAAATGGTCTTCGGTGGTGGCTGACAGTCATCCATACACACAGTAAAAAGTTCCCTACCCAAGTGATCCCAATACTGACAATACGTTTAAAATAAATGCAAAGAAACAGTTTGTGATTTTTGCTTATCCTATTTATTCATTAAATAAAAAACAATCACTGTCAGGACAGATAATATAACAACATGCTTACAACTACTTTACATGTAAACGTCACCATTACCAAAGTAGTTAGAAAAAAAAGAATTGGTCATTGTTTACACTTGGTTGCTCATTGTTTTTATTTATTTATTTATTTTTGACCCCATTGTGGCTGAGAATTATTTCACTTCCAAATTAGGCTTCTCTCACTGTCATCCTTTCTTGCCCTCTTTGAAAAAAAAGCTGTGATTTTTCCTCTGCCCTTCATAGCTTTGAAAGATAAGATGCTTTTTTTGCTAGACCTGATAATTATTTTGGTATATAATTATATAAATATTAAAGAGTACCATTAAAAAGGTGGCATAAAAAATGTATTTAACTAATAGTATAATTTTCTACCATATACAATTGAATAAAATTAGCAGCTAACAGCAACTTGCTTTGTGCTTTGGTCTGGTTTCACCTCACTCCAGTCTAAACTAAATTACTTTATAGGTAATTTACTACACATTGTCATATAAATAACATGAAAATACTGTGAATTATTAAGGCTAAATCTTACTAACCACTCTTGCTAAATGGGGTAAACACAGTTACAATCTAATTTCTGAGGTGTTCTGAGTAAATGATTTGTTATAAACCAATTCAGACAGTGATGTCTCGTGAGTTCAGTGTTGGATAGATCAGTTCACAGATAACAGATGACAGATCAGATTCATTGAAATGAATCTGTTCAAAGGAGTCATTAGGTCGCAAATTGAAAATTAGCGCACATGGACATGTATGCGATCTTATACATCACATAAGATTTTTGTCAACGCAGAAAACACTTCATCACTAGGGATGCACCGAATATTCGGCAACCGAAATTCGAATAAGTGAAAAGGCCGAATAATATGTACCGAACAATGACTAATGCGATCAAATAGAGGAACGCACTAATGCAGCAAACATGTCAGCAGTGTGAACGTATTTAAAACGTTCAGAGAAAGATGCAGAAATCATTACAAGCACGAAGCACTGACAGCGAGAGACTGTTTAGTGCTGCATCACGTCTCCGATGAGAAGAGGTGGCTAATGCTGGTGGTTAGGTTACTGTATGATGATTGAAATCGCGAAATTACCTTTAAACGATTAGTAAATCAATTGCAGAATGTTATATTTTCTGATGCACGCACGAATTGCATGTATTCTTCTGACAGCGCTGCACGAGCTCGCGGCGCCAGGTTTCAGAGTCCAAAGCGTGAGGAAAATCTGCGCTGAACTTGTTACTCGTCAGTTGCTCAGTAACATTTTTGTGAATTTTTTTAAAGGCATGTGACAATGTGATACATGCAACAAACATCTTCCCAAATTCGTAATGAGAATCATTTATAAATCTGCATGCTGTTGTTAACAAAAAGAAGCACTGAGATCTTCCTGCGGGTTTTTGCCAAAATAAAAGCCGAGAAAAAGAAACAACTCCATCGACATTCATAAATGATAGTATTGTAATTTTTCTGTCGTTCTGAAAAATTAAATTAAATATTAAGACAATAATAATGATAATAATAATTACAAGTGATGCACTGATACCACTTTTTCCAGTACTCGCCCGATACCGATACTTTTATTTTAGGTACTTGCCGATACCAATATTTTTCTTGCATTTGTACATTTTTTTAAATATTGGGTACAGAAACCAAAAGGGTATGTATAATGTTAGTTGGTTAACTTCATTTATCAAATAGATCCAGTCAAAGCGTGTGCTAAGTAGGGATGGGCATTTTGGGAAATTTCTCATTTCGATCATCGATAGGTTTCAAAAACGATTAATCGAGTAATCGGGGGCGGGGCATGGACGTAATGGATATAATGAAAAAATCTGAAGATTGTTATGAAAATGAATGTTAAAAATAAAAATATGACATGAAAACCTGTCTATGAAAACATGAACACATGATTAGGACATGTTAGATTATGATTATGATGAAGCAATGTTATTAATAAAGAAGCATCTAAAAAGGAATAGCTGCCCGAGGTGAAGAGTGACTTTATGCCAATATACTGAAGCTCATTCTATGACACATCCTATGATCAATCAGATAACTTAGATACATAGCAGACGTAACATTACAACTTGTATCTGCACAATAGGATGCTAAGTTATGCGCTAGACATCAAGTTTTATTATCCATAAATCGCCTGTGCGTTTTCGAAGCCAAATGAATTGAATTATGCCCACAAATATGACGAAAAAAAGCACGGCTATGAATCTCTTATTTACACCGTCTACACTTTGCTTATGAAAGGATTCATGAGATATTTCTGTGTTACATTTCTCAACGCTGCAATAACACGTAGAAACCTTTGAAGCTCCCCTCAGCGATCACAATCACAAGTATGATGATGATCTGGTCAGTCGCACTGGTGCTTCTAAATATGTTTTCATAGTCGCACGCAGTAGTTTTCAGTCGCAAAAATTCGATCATCGTTTACATGATCGATCATCGCTGTCACGGTCAAGTACTCGAGTACTCGATCACTGTTGCACATCCCTAGTGCTAAGTGAGTGAACATCAAAGATCACACAACAGAATTGCGCTCTCTCTCTCTCTCTCTCTCTACCTACCGTTAAGTAACTTGTGCATTGTTTTACTTACTTGTTTTTGACATATCTGAACGAACTACAAACTTTCCAGTGATGTCTGTGAGAAAGATATATTCACTCGCCAAGCTCGCGCATCTGCGCCGCCGCATGCTCAATCCACTCAGTGTGCTTTGTTTATCAGCTCGCGCAAATCAGCTATACAGGCGTTAATACTGAATGTTTAACATTATATTCATTGCATACATGTACTTCGTAGTAGACATCCTTAACTCCTTTCTGCTGTCTGTTGTTCTGTTTCTTTGTTTGAATATGGCGATACCGATACCGGTTCATCCCTAATAATTACCCTACAACAGCTCTATTAATACATTTATTATAACATTCACACATGGTGTTTAAATTGGCATCTGTAATATTAGGGCCTTTCGCACCACGGGAACCTTTTCATAGTACCAGAACTAATTGTGGGACTACCCACTTTTTGGCGTTTTAGTACCGGACTGCCTTTTTCGAGAACCAAATTAGCTCCTACTCCGGAGCAGGGTCTAACCGGCACAACTGGTACTAATCGTGACGTAAGTAGACATTGATTGGCCCAGCGTGTGCGAGAATGCCCTGACCCGCCATGATTTAAAACGCCGTGTAAACATACTGTAAACATTGTGTCAACTTATTTCGCAAGTATGGAGAACAGCGATAGATGGACGGACGCTGAAGTGCAGGCACTTGTAGCAAATGTAGCACTGCCAGTTGTTGTTGGAGATTCTTAGTCCTCCTTTCCGTTCTTTCAATCGCTTTACGTATACGTCGACTTTCCATGTCCACTGTGAAACCCGTGAGACACAACAAACACACAGCTCCGATCACAGCGTCCTCCATCCTCCTAATAATGTAATGTTCTTCTTTGTTTCTGTTGTTGAACGCCGCGCACAAATGACGTCGCTGTCGAACGACTTCCTAGTACACACTCTTGGTGCGAATGCAACCCTTTAAATGGTACTGGGAAATAGTTCGCGCAAAATCGTTCCAGTACTTTAGTACTGTACATTTAGTTCTGGAACTAAAGCGATGCGAAAGGCCCTATATTCTAATGTTTTAAAAGAAGTATTTTCTGCTCAGCAACTTATTAATTTTAAGTTAAATTGTGCTTTAACTTAGTGTATAATGTCTGCTAGAATGAAAAAAAATGTTCAGTGTTAAGTAAATATTTTTAAATTGTTGTTATGTAATAGATTTTTTATTTGAAAAGCAGGACAAAACAGTAAAAAGCACATTTTGGCAATTTACTTAATGCAATGGTGAAAAAAACAATGGCAAAATAGGCCTACATGGGGGGAAAAATGTGAAAAACCATGTTCGGTATTCGGCCTTCGGCCCAGTGTTTTATTTTGTTCGGCCAAGAATTTTCATTTCGGTGCATCCCTATTCATCACTGCACAGATTTTTATTTGTTAACTGAAAGTGTGGTTTATGTCAGCTGCATGTGCGCAACGCTTGTCAGAGAGGATAAGGACATGTTTTTTGAGCGCAACTCACACCCAGCGGTAATTCAGGGGGAAAAAAAATCTCCGAATGCGCCACATGAAACAAGGATTCAGTCTTCCGACCTTTTACCATTTTAGTAATATGTCTGAGGGAGGGAGAGGGTTTGAAGACCGAGAGAGAGAGTGTGCGGTAGGGGCTCTCTGCGCTTTCTCTCCCTCAGGTAACATGCACAGCATTCATTTACATCACTGATAAATCACATTAACTGATCAAAAAAGGCTTTGGTGGGACAAAAATTTGTAACATTCTGCACAAATCGTGCTTGCTAGACTTGTGCCGGTATTCATTAATGCGATATATCTCGATAATGAACATGCACAATATTGTTATTGTGGTTACTTCAAAATACAGTGAATAATAATTTATTACAAATCTTTCACATATTTTAACATGCTATGAATACTTTTCCCATCAACTGGGTAGGGGTGTGCGATATGATGATTTTTGATTGTGGACGATAAAAATGTCTCCACGATCTGCTTTTGAAGAAATATCATAGTACTACAGCGCACATTCAATCAGTTACAGTTCTGGCGCCTCCGGCTCAATATAATGTACAATGCGACATACATTCACATCAAATGTTGACTCTGCAGTAGAGTTACTCTCATGGGACACTGCACTTATTCGCAAATCACATAAGTACATTTGCATGTGCTTTAACGCCTTGCCAGTTTAACATTTCATTCGCGTGCTGTTCTGACGTGCACTTTTTCTGAGTGCATATACTTGAAGCGCGTACACACTAAGAGCCTGTCAAACAGCGCCTAATTACTAAAC